TCTTCAAATTATCCTATCCTATCCTATTCTATCTTTCAAGATGTAGTTTTAATGTAGGTTGACCCTAGCTTGAAAGCTTGTTCCCCAGGAACTGACCATATATCAATTCAGACAGGTGATGAAAAGTTTGAATTCAGGATGTATAAATCAGGTATCTTTTCTACTTCAACCTCTATTTCTTCTTGTATATTTCACTGTTATTAAGTTTTCTACTAGATTCTCCCTCCTAAATGAGCTTGACCATTCACTGTTATTATATAGAACATAAAGAAAAATGACACTGAGATTTTCAAAAAACTTTATCTTGGTTTGATATTATTTCCTTAATCAGACTCCTTAAAATATATAAGAAAAACCTGACACATTTTACGTAAGTACATAAAAATATATGTACACATATAAATATGTGTGCACATATAAATATGCACATATTTTGAAATACTATTTTTGGAAAGTCTTTGATTGGCTTTAAAGTCAGGAATTGCCTGGCTTATTTTAAGTATCAGTCATCTATGAATCAGTAATCCACGGGAAGAGATGCAGCTATGATGGAAATTACACAGACAAATTCTGTACCATGGGGGAAAAAAATAAAAAAGCCTAATGCTTTTTGCTCTTTGCTCACACACTGTCTACATCATCAGTGGTGTATCTTTGTGCTCATAAAACAGTGTTTACAGTGTTTAGAATGGTGTTTCTCCAAGTCACAACTGTCTGGGAAAATATGGTATCTCTGTTAAAAAAACTTGAATACAAATATTTGTTAAGAAAAAAGTAATTTCTATTCTTCTCTCTCCTTTTTGCATGAACTCTATGCATGCATCTCCAAAGTATCAAGATCACTAAAGTGGTTCAATGCATTGGTGGTCAGTAAGCACGACTTCTTTCAGAAAGAAGTTTATATGAAAAAACATGAGTCCAAAGCAACAAGCCTGCAACTGTGTATAAACCAAAACCTATGTAAAATGCGCACAAATGGATTACCATTAAGAAATGCAATATTTGAGAAAAAATAATAATAATAAAAGATGTGCAGGAGACCCAAACAATTGAAGTTCTCACAGTAGCAACAGTGTTGAATTGGAAAGCACTTATTGCAAACAGTGAATGTGCAAGGAATGGAGAATAAAAAAGGTGAAAAATGGATTAGAAAAACTATGGTAACAGGATGCATCTCTTAGACCTTTTGTCCTCAGCAGGATTTTCTGATCTTTTCCATACTCCTCATTTTTCAGGCTGCCATCAAGCTTTACTTTGCAGTGACTTCCTGGATACTAGACCCATATTCTTTCAAGAGATCCTAAAAGACTACTGCAGATTTTCTCTCCCTTATCCAGCTACAAATCTTCATAAAATTTACTGGAACTTCCTATCTTTCAGACTTCAGTCTCTAGCAAACTTGACAAAAGTTGGCCAATGGATTTCAAAGGTACTGGGAGGTTGAAGTGACAGATGGCATGTGGAAAGATGATGTAATTGCATTATTTTTTTTTCCAGTGAAAACCAGGCTGAACATAACCAATATACATGCAGAGGTACATACAGATAGTAAAGGAATAAGTCTTGAATGAAGCTCAGCTGTAATAGAAATGTCAGTTATCTGTTGACTGCACCTTCTTGACAAGTTAGCTAACCAGTCCATTTTCTATCTGCTTACAGGTACAAGATAAACTTATGCTACCTTTCAGGAATGGGCAACGGAATCTCACTCTTTTTTTTTTTTTTTTTTTTTCCATCTGGATCAGTTTATCTGGGCTGTGAAAAATTAAACACCAGGAGTATACTGCCAGCACACTGAGAGAAAGCTGCTCACTTCCTGGTAGGATAATGAGAGTGCAGCAGCGGAGGTGTGCATTTCAAGATCACAGCAAGCTGTGCTTTATTCAGAATGGTACCATAGCACTTGATTTATGCTGTAACCACATAGAAACCATGGCATGGGAGGAATATGGTAGGAGGGAGATTGTAAAGTATAGGAAGAAAAAAAAATCTCAGAAAAAAATCCCAGGAAAATAAATTTGTATTATGTAAAGGGGAAATGGCACAGTTGTGCTGTTCAAAAGTTATTCGTTATATTAAAAGAAACATTGGTAATAATGAAAACCCTTTCTTAGAAGAGTAGACGCATGAGCAATGGTAGGTAGGTAGGTGGGAGGAATAGCGTGGGTTGTGAGACCAATATTAGACTCAGAGAGAAGTCCCACACAATGAAAACTCCCTGCAAAAAAACAGCGAAAGCAAAAGGGGACATGTTTTTAAGTTGTTTTCCTGCCAAAGATGAAAGTGAAGCCAACTACCTGTTGTACAGGAGACTGCATACAAAAAAAAAAAAAAAAAAAAAAAAAAAAACAGAGAAAGAAAGTAGCAGAAAGAAATGCAAAAGATCCTTGACAATTATCACTGTAGGAAGACTGATTTCACAAGGCACGTTTTTCTATGCTGACAGAAGAAACTTAATGAAAAAAGCGAATACCACTCAGCTTTAAGCTGTTAATAATGTTCTGCAGGTCAGGTAAAAAGTCCACTAGTGTCAATAAAAGGCTGTCTGCTGAATAGAGTGGCTTTTGGCTCATTTCCATTAAGCTTTTAATCAGGTGCTAAATGAGCTCAAGTCAACAGTAAGTCAAGGAAATAACTTGTTATCACACATTACACAATTGCTTGATGGCCTATATTCAGTGAGTTAGGGGCTCTAATTTAGTCTCTGGCTGACAAGCTAGTAAAATTCTATCACAACTCTCAGAGTAATCAGCACAGCCTTGGGATGAATAAGCAAGCCTCTGTAGGTCAAGGTCAAATTATACAACTAGGAAGGTGTGAAGAAGTCTGCAAAAAAGACCTAGCTTAACAAACTTAATTTCCCAGAGCGAGCTCTTGGCTACTTCTCAAATAATAATAAATAAATAAACAAACAAATAAATAAATAAAGTTCATCAGAAAGGAATAAAAGCCATGCATAATTATATATTATACAATTAGTCTCTGAAAGTGAAAAGGTTTCCCAGCAAGAAATCATGTATCGATCTAGACTAAAAGAAATAGTTCTACTTCATGCCAATTGATATTGAAAAGTCATCAGGAAATTAAATATACTTTATTTTTTGTCCTCTTTTTTGTTTTTGTTTTTGTTTTTGTTTTTTGTTTAATACCATTTACCATTTTCCTCTTATTTTTTCCACCCAGACATTTACAATGCACTTCTGCATAGCTCCTAGACTTAAATGACTTTTATCATGTGCAGCTTAAAATAAAGCACATTCATAAAAGCTTTCTTGAATAGGAATGGATTGAAGGACATATGTGAAATGAAGGATTCATAACAGAACTTTGCTGAATTACAATGATTTCAAAGCTAAACCCAAATGCTTCTGCTGCCTAGCCCCTCTGATCTAACTAATGTCCAGTGTGAACAGTGACATGAAAGACTTTTTAATAATTCCATATTATTTTGCAAATCTCCTATCTAGAGAGAACACAAATGACCAAGAGCAAATCATTGTGATTCGCTGTACTTCACTTATATAATATGGAACCACTGAATGTATATTTCTTAAGGCTCGGAATGGATAAGTGTCATTCCTCATGGTGTGTCTGTGCACAAAGCATGGCTATGTGGAGTTTGTGCTGACACCTAATGTTTATATTCACCTTCCTAGGTTGCTATACTGAGGTTGCTATATCTAACTGCAGAGGAGTTTTGGCTGAGGAAAGGGTATGATAAAGTTTGCTGGATGATGAGAGTAGTCATGAACTTTGAGCAACCTGCAGCAAGTTCATGAAGATCCCCACAGACAATGAGACAGCTTTCTCCCTGGACATTAATGGACAGAGCAGACAAAATTCCTGGTTTCCCCTGAGACAGTCAGGCAGGCTGCTATTGAGAGCTGGAATAAGTATGTTCCAGTCTTTTGGTCTATTCATCACTGATGTCAAGAGCATAACATTCTTAACAAAGATCAAACACCTTCCTCTACAACCTATTTCTCAGATAAAATCTTTGGGAAGAAATGGGGTAGAGTAGTACAAGGAAGGGGAGGAAATTAATGAGCAAAATGCAGGAGTCTTTTGTCTTTAATCACAGATACTAGAAGAGATACATCTCTTTTTATTTCCATTTTAAAGCTACAGCCTTAGGCATGTTGTACCAAAATTAAGTTATTTTTGGTTCGGTGAACTATGATTCACTATACATTTTTGCAGAAGACAGACAGAAACAATTGTTGATTTAAATCCACACTATTTTCTTTTATGGATATAATTTATTTTATTGCTTTAGGAAAGCTCTCCGTTTTAGAATCATTTAGAAGAAAACACTAATACCCAAACTATTAATTTGTACAATTTTCACTGAGAATTTGGTCTCTTTTAAAAGGATCCAGTGAAATAAAAAATGACATAAAAAACATAAATTTGTCATCTCTCTAGACTAAAGCTTTCATAAACAATTTAAGTATTTTCACTTTTAGTTACATTTCTCCACAAAATAGTGTGATTCTAAGTGAACTAAGGAGTGGAAACCACAGATTTGTCTGTTTTCAAACAGTCATTGTTCTTTTTAATTAAATGTCAGACGCTCTCTGATGAGTTGCAACGATTAGCTTAGGGCTAATTTCACATGTGCTATTCATGATGAGTGTATATACATATATATATGTGTACACACATGCAATTATGTAAAGCTTCTGCAGGCCTAAGTTACAGTTCAGCAAAGTATTCAAAGAACAGACCTACTGTACACACTTGAACACTTTCACTTAATACTAACAGGCTGAAATACTTTGCAAATTCAAAGCACAGGTAGTGGAGCCCCTTTTCGAAGTAACATTGAAATACATGGTCAAATCTACCATTATTCAAAAAAGCTCATACCAGAAGTGACCAAACACAGTTGTTAAAATACTTTCCTTAACTGGTGCCTATGAGTGAAGGACAGAAAGAAATAGGAAAAGAAAATGTATCTCTCCATGGAGAGCTCTATATGATCTTGATGACTGACTTACTTGAGGGTGGTGAGCTCTGTAAGGGATGGCTGTGTGGCCTTAAGATAGCTCTCTCTCCGTGCAGCAATCTTTGGAGATGGCTTCGGACTTGTGTCTGAATCTCCACTGTCATCATCCCCCATGGCTTTGATGTAACTGCCACTACGCATTCGTCGGCAGGGAATCTCATCATCTTTCCCTCGTGGAGTGTATCCAGACCATTCATCTTGAGGAACCTGCAGTTATAAACACAATTCCCTTATTAGTACCCTTTTCCCTGTTGTAATTGCACAGCAAGATTTGACCGTGCTAAGCTGCCACATAGACATAACAAAAATTCACATGGGCAGGGGCCCATCCTCCATACCATTGTACTTTGCAGTGGAGGCCCCCTTCTCTACCTGTATAGTCACAAATGCCTCTGGAGGTATGCTATTTTCCAATCGTTATCTCGAAGTTTCCAGAAATCTATCTAACACAGGAGCCTCATATAGGCCTAATTCTGGGCTGGATAAATCTGTTTTTCTTTGGTGAATACCGTTTTCATTCAAATGATTTCCAGACAGATTACAGAGTAATCTTGGTTCAGCTCAATGTATTGAATACACATGGCAAGGCAAGATAAAATATGAATCTTGAAATCACAGTCATTTCAGATAGAGTATGCATGGCTACATGTGAATCTGCACCCACCAGAATGATTTTGGTTAAAGACACACTTCAAGTTGGTATAGCTATGTAGTAAGCATCACAAAAGTATGTTTGCAACTTCAAAATTACAATAATGTAGCTTCTATAGCATAATTAGTGCAAATGGATTCTCATCACCTTGCAGGGATCTTCCTTTTGAATTATGTTAGTCTGCATATCTGAGTCATACAACTCTCTATTCCTTTATTTTTCTTCTTATTATTAACATTCATTATTTCTCTTGATCTGAAGCAAGTTCTGTTCACTCTTTGCAATGGAAATCTGGAACACCAAGAATGTGTGTTCACAAGATTTTAGGACACAGCAAGAGACACTCCAAGAGCACTATTGTCATGCCCACTCATCCTCTCCCTTGCTTGCTCTTGGGGCTTCTGGCCATTGTAAACCAACACCTGCACTTCTGTAACAGCAGAAACAACATGCAGTGGAGCAAGGTTCTTGAAATAACTGTCCTAAAGTTATTCTGCAGATCCTTTGCTATTTTATAGTAAGAGTGCAACTGCAAAAGCACATTTCAGTTAAGCATATTAATGTTAGATTTAAATAATTGTAGTTACGGATTTCTACTTGTTCACTACTTTTTTGATTAAACATAGAGTCTCAAATCTGGGTTACTAAAAATTTTCCAACAGCTTATAAATACTAACTTCTAACAGGACAATCAAAAAATGTCTCTTTTCTATGAATAGTTTGCTCCTCAACAACATTTAACTTCTGGTGAGTACCTTGTGCATCCATTGCTTCCTAAACTTCAGCCATACCATTTACATGCCATCTTGTTTAGAAAATCATAACTTGCTTCAAGAAGGACCTTAAGGGGAATGAATATATTTCAAAGTCTTTTTTTTTTTTTTTTTTTTTTTTTTTAATTGAATGATGGCATGCAGTAATCGGTATTGGTAGGAAGTAGTTGAATAACTATACTTAAAAGCACTTGCAATATCCTTCTTCTAGTAAAGGGGAAGACTCTAAGTACTTGAGTATTACAAGCTAAGAGTACAAAGCATTTACAGAACCCACTGGAGGAAAAGTGTTGAATATACAGTTCTGATAAACCTCAATTTCAAATAAAAAACATATGCAATGTTTCAACTTTTAAGTTTATGCCTAGATCACAGGCTTGGACAGCTGATGATGTCTTTTTTGGGTGTGTACATCTTCTCAATGTGCAAATGAAAATAATATTTTCTAGTGGATTTGATTTTGATTTTTGACATACAGGAACATTTTACACTCCTCCTCCAGCACACTTATGACAGACAGACAATAATATTTTTTCCAGGTTTGATGTTTGCATTGCTCTTAGGGCTACAGCATCAGCAACCAGAGAAAATACAATCTGTGCTTATAACATCCCTCATCTACACCTAGGAACCTGCAGCTCCTGCTTGTCAACCTTGACTTTTCAAATGACTTGTACAAGAAAGAAGTTAACAGAGGATTTGTAAAACCAAGCTTTGCTGACATTTTGATGAAATGCTTTCCAATCACTCTTCAGGCAGATATTTAATAGCTAAGAGTATGTAGAGAATCTGTGACTTCTCACAGGACATGTACTTTAATCTGTTTAATATTTTATTCATTATGATTTAGTCAAAGATCTGTGATTTTTCTCATTAAAATAAATTAGTGAATTAGTCTTTAATGCACTAAATAAAATATGTTGGTATAACATTAGGGTTTGTGTCTCCAACTGAGCAAAAGTCAGAGCAGTTAAAGTTATTATACTCACACAGCACCCGTAATATAGGCAAGCTGAACACTTGTAGATTTATTAAATTACAGACATACAGTTAAATTTAGTGCTGTAGTTTTTAGCTGCTCTACAGATGAGATATAGCTGCTCTGGGCACTATAACTCAGTTTCCTGAGTTCTGTTGTCAATAATCCCATATAAAAATACATATAATACCTTTCGTCCCAAAGCTTCTCAAAATTGATTTAGATACAACAGACCAAGTTTCGAAAGCTGGTTTCAATGGATTTGCCACAAAACATCCTATTTACACATGCAAACACTGTGGACAGATAGAAATGTACTGTGATGAGCTGTGAAAGCTCTAGCTGCACAAATTACATGAGATGATAAGGAGGAAGTCTCCAGTTTGAGCTCTCCTGACTCAGGGAAGTAGGCAGTTTATGAATAACAGCACACTATCGTTTTAGTAGCTCCTTGGCCTTTTAAACACTAGTTGCAGAAAAAAAAGCTGAGTTGTTCACATAGAGAGCAGGGACAAAGCAATCTCAAGCCACAAACCCAGTGGATGTTTTGTGTACTGAAAGCTACTTGCATGTGCAAAAATAAAGAAAATTATACAAATAACAACGCAAGTCCCATTACCAAATCACAGTTTTAAGGATAAACCCTGTATGGGCCAAAGAGAAAAGGATGCCTGTAGTTAGGAAAAACACCCAGAGTTAGAGAACAGCCTAAAAAAGAGAACAGTCTAAAGAATCAACCCAGCTGTATAGAATTTCAGTTTAAACATTGAGAAAAGCAAAGTGTTTGTTCAAACTATCCTAGCTGCCTAGGCAAAACTTCAGTAGAATTATGTAATAGATATTTAACTACAAAGGTGGGGACATCTACTAGTTTGTTTAAGCAGTTTGAGCAGTTTTATTGCAGATATGTAGATATTTATTTTATTTTTTTTTTTCATTAAGGTTTCAGTATTTAAAAGAACAACAGGGGTCCAATTCCCCTCTATTTTATTTCAGTTTCATAGGAGCTGAAAACCCTGATTTCAGAAGATCGAGTAGGAAAAAGCAGTGTAACTGCTTGAGAGCACTAGTGAGGTAAAGAAATGCTTTAAAAGTAGTAGATTTTTGCTTTGGCTATTAACAATTATAATGCTTTTTATGAAAGGATCTCAGAGCACTGTCTGTTTATTACTTGAGTAGGACAAACAACATTTAAAGCTCAACATTTCCTATTATTATAACTATTTTATAAGAAATAAAAGAAAATAGAATCATAAAATGCTAACATTTTTATACTTCTGTGTCTAAAGACAAATACCTCAAGCAATACTTGCTAAAAGAAGTGACCTGATTTTCAGAGTTGCTTTCTTTGGTGGCTAATACAAATGGCTGTAGCTGCTTATAGCTCACAATCCAATTTACTATCAAACAGAAGTGTTTGTATCATGGGAAAGAAGAAAAATATAAAATTCTAGCTGAAATACAAATTAGGAAAATAAAATTGGTCACATTATTTCCTGAATTCTTTTCCTTCTTTTCCTATTCTTTTCTTATACATGTGATACTGAATATACTGTAGCATATTTCCTTCTGTTCTGGAAAATGCTGGGAGAAGTATCTATATGAACCTCCATCTCTTTTTTATTTGATTTTTTTTTTTTTTTTCAGTCAGGAAGTCTGCCTAGATTTTCTTTCTTTGGACTATTGGACTTCACTTGAATGTCCAATATTATATCTTGCAAGGTCACATACTGTGCTTCATGCAAGTGCATATGCACAGCAATTACTGCCTTGGAGGATTAATGGCATTGACATACCTGAGACAAAGCTGTTTCATGCTTTTAAGAAAATCATGTTATCCAATTACCTTGGCAATTTCATTTTTTCACTATCAGAATATCAAGCAGATACATGACTCTTATGATTGTTTCTACTCTCATGAAAGAGGTGGAAGAGCTAAACTCAGATCTAACAATGAACATCATTGTTTTTATTAAAATGGGACTATTATCATTCATAGTACTGAACTAATAGAGATCCTGGAAACATTTCATTCTAATCTTTAAGATCATATACAATTTTCTTTACACACCTAAAAATCAAGAGTGTCCTTTAATCATACATAAAAGCTCAGTGAAACAGAGAATTATTATTACTTGAAATACATAAAAATATTCAGCAATGGCCTTTAAGCCAGGCAACTTACTGAATTTATGACTTCAGTTCTTCACTATATACCTGGAAATAAAATGTTTGTTACAAGTATGAAAACTAAGTTTTACTATGTTTTCTTTCTTTTGATTAAATGGTAGATATGTTTTTCTAAACAGAACAGACTATACAGATAACACTGCCACCAGCCAACATCTTACCTGGATTCAGCTTCATTTAGTGTATTGTTTACCTATCCTGATCTTTAAATAAATGTATGGACTTCTGGAAGTGTTTACACTGTTGTTAGTCAGGCTGGATTGACTTGTTATTATTATTATTATTATTTTAAATTTATTTTTTAATATATATAAAGGAATAGGATTTTTCTATCAGATAATCTAGGACCCTGAATAAAGAAACTAAGCAAACAGGTATACTGGCCCCACAGTTTCCAAACATTCATTTTAGCAGCTCATGCTTAGTGGTATGTGAAATAAACCTAGCATGTAAGGACAAAGGTAAAGAAAACATTTTTTGTTTATTTATTCAAGCTTTAACAAATAAAAAATAGAATATCGAATATCTCTAGTTTCCTTCCTTTTACCCAGAATTGTTCTTAACTTACCTTATTGGATGAAATAGCAAACAGACTGTCTCTATAGCAAATTAA